TAACTAAATATAGCGGTAGCACTCCTGAGGGCAGTGTTAATGACATTAATGGACACAACAGCGATACTTCAGCGCAGCACCTACAACAGGAGTAAAGAGCCGCTCCTCGGGGTTCTGCAGCGATTATGCCGCAGTTATCGGTGCGTGTGTCCTGAATGAAAAGTTAGGCCTGTAATTGTGTGCATAGAAGATATTAGCAGTGAAAACACGTCGTCAGCCAATTACATAGTTCAGTTGAAGCTACAGTACTTGTTGATTAAACTTGGAAAAAAAAAAAAGAAAAGGAAAAAAAAATCCTCCTGCGTATTCTCAACATTTTATTTTTCTTTTTTTCACCACAGCCGCAGTTCTGTCGACATCACGCTGAATCAAGTTGTGGAAATCATTAGTGTTTACACTAAAATTCATTGTTGTTTTTAAAGCAAAATTATGAATGTTTCAAGGCTTTCATCAACAATAGTCCAATCTACAGCCACATACATATACTGTATATACGTTTACATATATAAATATATATACATATATACATATATGCTGTCTAGTTTTTGTGTACATGTGTGTGTATATATGTACACATGTATATGTGTATATATATTTATATATGTATACATCCATGTGTGTGTATGCATATGTACATAAATATGTATATACACAACAGTGAAGAATGTGTATATATATGGATGCGTATATAAATACAGCCATAAATATATATTTACATATATAAATATTTATATACATATATGCTGTCTAGTTTTTGTGTACATGTGTGTGTATATATGTACACATGTATATGTGTATATATATATACATATATGTGTACATGTACATATATGTGTATATATATACATATATACACATATATGTATATGGCTGTTTATATACACGTGTGTGTATATATAGAAAACAGTGAAAAACTGGACAGCATATAATGTATATATGTATACATACATGTGTGTGTATATACACATGTATATACACAATAGTGAAAATATATATTGTGTATATATTTTATGTGTGTATATTGATATAGAGAGTAAGAGAGAGCTAATGTAAACCACTTCAAAGAGATATAACAGGGGCAAAAATATGCTAACATTGTCAACACAGTTTGACAGGTGAGTTCAGTAACAGGAGGCGAAACAAT